TCATGTTTTCTTATGTTTTTCTTTCTGTGTTTTAATAGCAGACAGATCTTTTTTATTGTTTATAAAGTGTTGACACTGTTTTTTTTTCTGTTTTTCTTTCTGTGTTTTAACAGCAGACAGATCTGGACTGCAGGCAGGCCAGTCAAGTGCAATATGTCTAAAAGGTCTCCACAGTGACACCTACAGGAAAGAGGGAGACAGGGTTTGGTTTAATTTTTTTTGTTTTCCGAAGAACAATATTTGTGTAAAAGCTCTGCTCACTTTCTGTCCAACTTATTGAGGTACGTGTGTCTACTGGGAGGACCAGGGTAAATTTAATGAGTCAAATTAAAAAAAAAATGTTTATAATCAAACTGGAACCCTAAACACAAGATAGTTGTCAAACGGTTGTCAAACATATGGCCCGGGGGCCAAAACCGGTCCACTAGTGTGTTCAATCTGGCCCGGGCGATGAATTTTGGAAAAAAGAAAAAATACACAAAAACTTCAAGTTCAGGATAAATTTTGTAAAATTATATTTTGTGAAAACTAAGGGCAAAAACATGGACTTATTGTTATTTATAGTTTTGACGTTACAGGTTGTATGCGGTTCGACAGCCCTGCCAGATCATATCTTATTGTAACGTATCGTATCAGTTTGCGTAAATATAGTATCGGGTCATGAAGTTTAGCATCGTTGGAACAGTGACTGTGTGGATGGAGGTCCAGTGTCAGTGTACTGGGGTCGTCGGTCTGTGTTGACCACTCGGTCGGTCATCGGTGGCCGTGGTCTGTTGTTGTAGCTTCACAGATGTTTACAGCAGCATCATCAGATGATGGACGGTCCTCCCCGCTCTGACCTATAGACATAATGTGTCTGTAATGAAAACATCGCAGCTCCATGATCTCATGTGGCGTGTCTCTCCGCCGCTTATTGACCGTCCATTGTTTGCGTCCATGCGTCTTCATTTTTGAGAGAGTCCGACGCCGCCGAACCCGCGGCGGGCTGACGGCGAATCAACCAGTGACCTTTTCCTTCCTGTACGGTCCCACTTGATTAGCACATCAGGTGCAGACAACGAGTGTCCACCTCTGTCCACCGTCCGACATCAGCCACATCCCTTTATCAGTGTCCTGTAATTAAAATGTCAACCTTTAATTTTCCAGCCAGCGCTTTCCTCTCGGCAGAATCTTTTCTCCAATAAAAAAAAGAAGTGCAATCGAAATGGTCTTTTCAGGGAAAAAGGGAAAGATACGTTAAAGTGAGCTGAGCAGCGAAGGATCAATAGGCCCTTTGGTCCGAGAGGAGGATTGATCGCTCTCTAAAATGGGATTTATAGGGTCATGCTTTTATGTAGTGCTGATACAAGTGTTAATTATAAAACATTTGGCCTCCGCGGCTGCTCTTATTAAAGCTGTCCTGCTGGAAGCGGCCTCCTTCATCTTCTTTTTCTGGGCATGTGTTCATGAAGCCAAAAAGAGGCGGACGTGGTCATGTGACAGGCTGCACGTCTGTGGACCAATCGATCCAACGCTGGCGCGGAAAGACGTTTTCTGGCTAGAGTTTCTGTAATTCATAACAGGATAACAAATAATGAAACATCTTAGAAAATTATAAGACAAAGAAAAAATCTATTGATGTTTCGATCGGATACTCAGGATCGAGATCAGTCTGATATGGATCTAAATTTCATCGAACATCGTAAAAACAGTTATAACACGTCCGATCCGATACCTAAGTCCAAATGATCAACTTACTGTAACTTTGCGGGACGTGCTGTGAACAGGGACTCTGTCGCCATAGCAACGGAAGCTGCTGGAGTAGAGAAGAAGGTATCGGATTGATATCGGTAACACCGGAAACTAGAGAAAAAATAGTCTGTGAATCGATTAGGGAAAAAATGTTACTTTTCAGAAAATGTACAGTTACAAAAAAAAGGATGTTTTTCTAAATTAAATGAAACCTGCAAATTCAAAATCATAATAATAATGTGATGTGGTGGAGAATAAACACGAAATAATCTTACATTTCTTACAACCTACATCCAATGGGATTCAGTAAAAAGACTAAATATTGGTCAAGTCTTTGAAAGATTTGACAGATGAACAGATCGTTAGGAAACATGGATATTTCATGGATAGTTTCATGGAAAGTGTCAGGGATAAAAGACGACGTTTGATGCTCGTGACCTTTGATCTTTCCGTCAGGACTGTAGTAAAAACCAAAGTCGTTCCGTGAAAGATTTGTTTTTCTAAGTAAGGATGAGGAGAACAGTTTCTCAGAAACACAATTAGTACAAACACCAAGACCGACCGACGTTGTCTGTTTATCAGTGACAACAACTGGTAACCAGGAAACTTAAAACCAACAAAGAAGGAAGTGTGGTAAAGATGATGAAGCAAAGAGAAAAAAACTATGAGATGTGAATGGGCAGGAGGAGGAGGAGGAGGAGGAGGAGGAGGAGCAGAGGAAACACTCCACCATCGGGTTTTGTGGAGTGTTTGGATGACTGACTGCTCCATATTTTTGTTACGACTCCAAATTCCGACTAAATAAACCATCTGGACGCGTTCCTACATATTTATGTGCAAAGAAACTCCAGTAAAAAATAAAAAAGTGTCGTAAAACGAGCGACGCTGCAGAAAATCCAACATAAATCAGACGCTTATTAAAGCCTAACTTTGCTTGGAGCTCCGTCTCCAATGATCCACCAGGTCTGGGGTTCAACTGCCGGGTCGGGACTCCTAAAGTTTTCAACCTGCCCCGCATTAATATTTCATCCCACAGGTTTGTTTGAACAATCGTGAGCGCATTTGAATGAGGCCCTGGGTAATTTGTATCCAACAGGAATAATGAAGAGCTCGCCTAAAATTACTGCTGAAACGTCTAATTAAAACCTCCGCGCCGCTGCTGCTGATGCACACACGTCAGCTCACGTTTCCTCTGGAATAAGTACAGCGACAATGGCTGCATTCAAGTCGGCGGTCTAAATAATTAAGAAGAGAGGAATAATTACAGTGTAAAATTGTAATTATTGGTGGGGGCTGCACGGAGGGGGGGGGCTCTTGATGGTGAAAGAGGAGAGGATGAGCTCAGGATCAGGTTCAGCATCAATATTACAGAGAGAAGGAGCTGGTGCTGGCTGCTCTTTGATGACACGTCACACACACACACATCATACACACACATCATACACACACATCATACACACACATCATACACATTCTCCATACACTCTTTACACGTGTGGCCACTATCAACACACACAGAAGAGAAACGCCCAGCAGATGGCAGTGTCTCTGCCGACAAATACTCTAAAATCAGTGATCATCAACTGGTGGCTTGTGGGCCAACTACGGCCCGCCCATCCATCCAATGCGGCCCACAACTGGATTTCAAAACAGACATTAAATAATATCATGTTAAACAACAAATATTTGTCGACTCTCTGACAAATATAGTTGGCGACACCTGCTGTAAAAACAGTGCCCCCTTCTGTTTACTGATATAGTTGTTGGGTTTTTTTTTAATAATTCATCTCCTGTTTTATTCTTGTCAGGAATTTGGAGGGAGCTGGGTCCAATTCCAGCAGTCAGCAGGTGAGGGCGAGCTTGTAGGTAGAGACAAACAGGCGTTCACACTAACATTCACACTAACATTCACACTAACATTCACACCTGTGGTCAGTTCAGAGTGAACAGTGACTGTGGGAGGAAATGATGACCTGGAGAAATGCCTCAAACTAGTGATGTGTTCCCTGTAAGGCAAGAGTGTTAACCGTTCATCCACCGTGTGGCCTGACTTTTCTATTGTTTTTCCCCATACTTTACACCTTTAACTGTTTGATTCTCAGCTATTAAATATTTTATACTTTACCACTTAATTTAATTTTCTATTATTTATGACATTTTATTTTATTTTATCTGGTTACATTTTTCAAAATATTGTGTTTATTTTGAATTATTTTGAATTCATGACATTTGAAATTCGTTGCTTTTTTCCACATTTTCTTGTTTATTCTGTTTCTCTTCACTGTATCAAACAGGAAGAACAGAGTCAGTCAGTCAGTCAGTCAGTCAGTCAGTCAGTCAGTCAGTCAGTCAGTCAGTCAGTCAGTCAGTCAGTCAGTCAGTCAGTCAGTCAGTCAGTCAGTCAGTCAGTCAGTCAGTCAGTCAGTCAGTCAGTCAGTCAGTCAGTCAGTCAGTCAACATGGCAGCCTCCAAACACGGTCTGAGCTATATTATATTATATTATATTATAATTGTTATTATTAATTGTTATTATTTTCAGGTGTTTTCCTAGTGAAAAAATATCAATGGACCTGACAAGAATAGGTGGAGTGTGTGTGAGAGAGAGACAGAGGGAGCGAGAGAGAGAGAGAGAGAGTCTCTGTCAGTGTGTGTGTGTGCGTCAGTGTGGCCCGCGGCATCCTCCTCCTCCTCCTCCTCATCTTCATCATCATCACAGCAGCTCATTTCAGATTCACTTCATTTTCATCACAAAGCGCAAAAAATCCGAACCGGTCCAGGTTTTTATTTCCGTCCATGTTTGCGTTATTTTAATTCTTCTTTTTTTTTTTTTTCTTTCTCTGCCTTCTTCTTCGTCTCCATTTTTTTTCATGTATTTATTTATTTCTTTATTTTTCTGGCGGCCTCAGATTGATTTGCGTGGCCGCCGTGGAAGCCTGTAACAGATGGCGGTGTAACTTGATAAATGAGCCCGGGCCTTTTGTTGTTCTTGTTGCCCTCCATCGAGCCTCTGTTTGTCACTCTGTTCCCGCTGCGGTGGAAATAATCCCTAATACACACTCTGCAGGGTGGGACATGTATACTGGCCCCCGCTGAGGGGTCCTGGGGGGGGCGGCGGTCCATCCGGGGGTCTGGAGTTGGTCACAATTAGTGTCATCATCTTCAGCGGTATCGAGGGTCCTGTCATCATCATCACGTGGATGTTTTTTTTTAACCCCACATTTGTCTTCTCTAACTGGTATACACCACTCATGTGGGCTGTGACCCAAAAGTGGGTCACTGAGCTCTTCTGAGTGGGTCACAGATATTTATATATTTCTACAGTATTTTAAACCAATCAGAGTTCATTAAATTGATCAATTTAAACATCAATTAAAATTCATCTGAATCACGAGTTAAAAATAGTCAAACATCAGAGGCTACAGTGGGAAATAACAAACACGATCAAATAAAATAAAAAATCCCCAAAAAGTACAAAATGATGTAATGTAAAAAGAGAACGGAAAATGTAAAAAAAAAGTTAAAAAATTACATTTTAAAAAACAGATTTTGGCCCAGATTCAGTCTAAATTTAGCCTAAATTTGGCTTTTGTTTGACCCACTTATGACGTGGACTGGTATAAATAGACACATTCGAGACATTAGTTTTCCCAAATAACTGGAATTTATTTTTTTATGTGAGAGTCAAACTCAGAAATATGTGTGGGCCGCTTTATGGGTCACGTCCGTTTTGTGTGGGCCAGATAAAAAAAGTAATTAAATATTTATAGGATACAGTTAAATGATTAAAAAAACAAAGTGTTTCACCTGATGTGAGGCTGTAACTGGACTGGAACTGTTCGAAATGTACGACGCGAATTAAGAATGAAAAAAAAAAAAATCTAGGACAGAATCCTGAAGGGGGCGTCAGTGTGTGTGGGAGGGGGGCGAAAATCTTTGCGACTCTACGTAAAGCATACCTAACTCAAATTCGGAATGTCTTCGTCCAGTCTTCGGGGTTCTCTGATCCGGTTCTGATGATGTAGAACCTCATCTCCGAGGCTGCGGGTCGACGTGTGGTTAAACTGTGGCTCGGGGTTAAGTCTAGGCTCGAGTTAGGGATTTAACTGGTCCGGTCAGGGACGGGACGTGAACAGGACTCTGCCAATGATTGGACGTCGAAGTCCTAACAAGAATAGATGCGCGCGTGTGTGTGTGTGTGTGTGTGTCAGTGTGTGAGAGTGAGTGAGTGAGAGAGAGGGAGAGAGAGAGAGAGAGAGAGAGCGACGTGCCATGTGTTTGGTGTCTACACACCATTCACCTCCCCGGGCTCTGACAGGATGGAGGTCCTGTTTCTGCTGCTCCTCCTGCTCTGAAATAGACTCCAGACTCCTCCGAGTCTCTCCGCCGTCACAGCGCCTCCTCTCTGGACTCAGCGGCCCTGACCTCACGCCATTATTTCATAAAATTCCTAATTGTTTGTTGGCGTCGTAAACCCGCCGGAGTGCGTCGTCCTTTTCTTTTGGAGAGAAAGGTATGTGTTGTTATGATTTAAAATGTTGGCTTTTATTATTATTCAAATTTAAATTTAATTTTTTAAAATGATTCCTAAACAGTGCAGACACGGTCTGTTAGAGTCTGCCGGTCCGTCAGTGGTTGAACACTTCGGTCGGTCGTTTGTGTGTGAGTCCATGCGCGGCCGTCGGTCCAGCTCTGACCGGCCTGATGTCACTGACCGCAGGCGAAGAGGAAGCGAACACCGGCAGGTGGGGAGTCCGCCAGGCCTCTGCGTCAGTCACCGGTCACCGGCGGAGGCTAATCTGCCACAGGCTTTAATTATATATAGGGCTGGTCTTTTATTAACAACGGCCAAAGACGCACGGCTGGATCTGTGTCGTTATCGGGGAAGCAGCTTAGCGGCTCTCTTCCTCTCTGTTAAGCGCATTGACGCGGCTCAGAGCGCGGCTTTTCCTGCTCAACTCATCCGCCGTTAAGATCCTTATGTGGCTCTTAAGGAGTTTTTCCTCCGCTGAGGGAGATTTGGGGGAGATAAGACGGAGAGATGAGGAGGAGCGAGTGTGGATCACCTGAGAGAGGAGGCCGTAGACACGAGAAATAATTAACAACCAGGACCAAAATAACCCGCCGAGAGAAATATACACAGTACTTGTTAGTCACAGTATGTATTTATTAGTGTTACATTTAATATTTACAATTATAAGTATTATGGCAAATACGTCATTTAATTTTAATTTAATTTACTTTTTAATTTAAAATAATCTAAATTATTAAATTATGATAATAAAGCTAATACAATATAATATAGATAATTCATACAATATATATTAATGTAGATAATATAGGAGTTAAGTGTATTTGACTGTATTTACCTTGCAGTTTTTTAATACTTTAAATACGTACTTGTGTATTTTCCTCCATTTAATATATATATATATATATGTATTTAAATATATCAATATATATGTTTATATAATATATATTGTTTATATTTATATGTTCATATATATTTCTATATGTTATTATTTTCGTGTATTTTATTTTACAAGTGACGTCAAATTATTTCCCCTGTGCCTTTTTTTTTTCTCCTCTCCTCTCCTCTCCTCTCTTCTCCTCTCCTCTCTTCTCCTCTCCTCTCCTCTCCTCTCCTCTCCTCTCCTCTCCTTTCCTCTCCTCTCCTCTCCTCTCCTCTCCTTTCCTCTCCTCTCCTCTCCTCTCCTCTCCTCTCCTCTTCCTTCTCCTCTCCTCTCAGACCCCCAGGGATGGACTCGATGCCCGGACAGCTCCGAGACGCGGGACGAGACGTCAGCTCTTCGCCGAGCTCCAAGCAGGACGCACAGAGCTTCTCCGACCCGCGCTCCCTCAAACCAAACCAAGTGGGTGAGACCGCCCTGTACGGGGTGCCCATCGTGTCCCTGGTCATAGACGGGAAGGAGAGGCTGTGCCTGGCGCAGATCTCCAACACGCTGCTGAAAAACTACAGCTACAACGAGATCCACAACCGGCGCGTGGCTCTGGGCATCACCTGCGTCCAGTGCACCCCGGTGCAGCTGGAGCTCCTGCGGCGCGCCGGGGCCATGCCCATCTCCTCCAGGCGCTGCGGCATGATCACCAAGCGGGAGGCCGAGAGGCTGTGCAAGTCCTTCCTGGGCGCGCACGCTCCGCCGAAGCTGCCGGAGAATTTCGCCTTCGACGTGTCCCACGAATGCGCCTGGGGCTCCAGAGGCAGCTTCATCCCGGCCCGGTACAACAGCTCCAGAGCCAAGTGCATCAAGTGCAGCTTTTGCAACATGTACTTCTCCCCGAACAAGTTCATCTTCCACTCCCACCGCACACCGGAGTCCAAGTACCTGCAGCCGGACGCGGCTAATTTTAATTCGTGGAGACGCCACTTAAGGCTGACGGAGAAAGGTTCGTCTGATGACGTCATGCACGCCTGGGAGGACGTAAAGGCCATGTTTAACGGAGGGAGTAGAAAGAGGACTCTGCCCATGAGCGGGTCAGGGATGTCCTCGAGCATGAAGTCCCAGGCCCAGTCCAGCCTGGTCCAGACCAGCTCCCCTGAGATCCCCCACAAAACGTTACGCTGTGAGGAGGACCAGGGGGGCAACAGTCTGAGTTTGGCGGGCGGCGCACGGAGTTACCCGGTCATTCCGGTGCCCAGCAAAAGTTTTGGAATGATCCAGAAGATCCCCCCGCCCCTGTTCCCCCACCACCCCTTTGCGTTCCCGGGCTATGGACTGTGTCAGAAAAAGAGTGACGGTGTCCCCGAGGCCAACAAGACCACCGTCTCTGGTATGTTCTGGCCCGGCCCAAAAGACGCCCTCTACCCTGCCTTCCCCATGTTCTGGCCCGCGCCCGCCGGCCTGCCTACGCCGCCCTATCCGGGCTCTCCACCTAAACCTCCGCTCGAGCTGCCGGCCGTCCGGCAGGCCGAGCTGGACTTGTCAGACCAAAGTGACCGAGGCGCAAACACACCCAAAGACACCCCCCACCTCCACCAACAGCACCACCCTCACCCTCTGCCTCACCCTCACCCTCACCACGACGGCGCCGAG